TTGAGAATGAAGTACAAATGCGCTTTACACAATTGATGTGTGTATGGATTGTGATAAGAGTTGTATGAGCCCCTAATAAAATGTTTTTAAAAAATAGTAGAGTAGCCAAAACAAATGAAAGAAAGAATGAAGTCAAGGAGCTGAATAGAACACTTCAAAGGGCAGCTCGAGAAGACCAAGCCAAATATTTTAAGGCAATGTGCAAGGACCTAGAATTAGAAAGGGGAGACACTCGGCATATTTGAAATTGAAAAAAACTCAAGAAAAAAATCCAAGCCTTGAGTTGCAGTCTTGAAATATTCTGTAGGCAGAATGTTGAATGATGCAGGAAGTATAACGAGAAGATGGAGAGAGTGCACAGAGTCATGTACCAAAAAGCACTAGTGGACAGTCCACCATTTCAGGAGGTAGCATATGAGCAAGAATCAATGTTGCTGAAAGAAGAATTTCAAACTACACTGAGATTATTAGCCACAAACAAGACTCCAGGAATTGACAGACTACCCACTGAAATGTGTCAGCCAGCTGAAGAAGCACTGGGAGCACACCCTTGGCTATGCCAGGAAATTTGGAAGACAGCTACTTGGCCACCTGACTGAAGAGTTCCATATTTGTGCCCATTCCAAAGAAAGGTGCCCCAACACGATGGTGAAACTATAGAACAATATCATTGATACTCACATGCAAGTAAAATTTTACTTATGATCATCCAACAACACTTGCAGCAGTACATTGACAGGGAACTGCCAGAAGTTCAGGCCAGATTCAGAAGATGTGGAACAAGAGATATCATTGCGGATGCCAGATGGATCTTGGCTGCAAGCAGAGAGTACCAGAAAGATGTTTACTTGTGTTTCATGGACTATGCAAAGGCGTGGACCATAGTAAGCTATGGATGACCTTGAGAAGAACGGGAATTCCAGAACACTTCATTGTGCTCATGAGGAACTTGTACATGGACCAACAGGCAGTTATGTGAAGAAACCTAGGCCATAGTGCAGGGTTTAAAATCAGGAAAGGTGTGCATCAGGGTTGTAGCTTCTCACCATACTAGTTCAATCTGTTTGCTGAACAGATGATCAGAGAAGCTGGACTATATGAAGAATGTGGCATCAGGATTAGAAGAAGGCTTATTAACAACCTGCGATTACAGATGATACACGCTTGCTGGCTGAAAGTGAGGAGGATTTGAGTCACTTGCTGATGAAGACCAGGGATTGTAACCTTCAGTACACAACTCAATGTAAGAAAAACAAAAATCCTCACCACTGTACCAATAGGTAACATCATGATAAATGGAGAAAAAGTTGAAGCTGTCAAGGATTTTGTCTTATTGGATCCACAATCAATGCTCATGGAGGCAGCAGTCAAGAGATCAAAAGGTGCATTGTTTTAGGTAAATTTGCTGCAAAAGACCTCTTTAGCTTATTGAAGAGCAAGGATGTTCCTTTGAGGACTAAGCTGCACCTGACCCAAGCCATGGAATTCTCCATGACATCATATGCTTGCCAAAGTTGGATATTGAATAAGGAAGAAAAGAAGCATCAATGCATTTGAATTGTGATGCTGGAGAAGAATATTAAAAGTACCATGGACTGCTTAAATGACAAACCAAACTGTATTGAAAGAAGGCAGGCCAGAGTGATCCTTAGACACAAGGATGCCGAGACTTTGTGTTACATACTTTGGACATGTTGTCAAGAGAGACCAGTCCCTGGAGAAGGTCATGTTTGGTAAGGGAGAAGTGGAGAGCCCTTAATGACGTGGACTGCATCGTGGCTGCATCGATGGGCTCAGGCACTGGAACCATTGTGAGGACGGCGCAGGACGTGCAGTGTTTCGTTCTGTTGTGCACAGGGTTGCTGTAGGTTGGTGCTGACTCTATGGCATGTAACAACAACATGCCTGTGGTTATAATCCCATTTTAGAGGGGGCTCTCCACTCTGCTAATAGGCAGGATTAAGATGGGCTGTGTTGAGTCTGTATTGTACTAAGGTGTGAACCAGGTCATCACCCCTTGGTCCCTTGGTCATATGGTCTATTGAAAGACAAAACTATACCTTTATCAAAGTTATTCCTCTGTGCATAAAAGCCATCTTGAAAGCAGAAGTCCCAGGACCATGAGAAGAGCTACCAGCAGAGCACATCTCTGAAGTGGCGGAGGCTGAGACCAGAGTCATTAGATGCTGCAGCACAGAGACCGTAGAACAGAGCAAAGAAGCCAGGCCAAGACCAGCGGCTTAGGCATAGAGACCACGAGATAAAACAGAGCAACAGTACCAAGACAATGTGTGTTAGTTTGGGTAGACTATAGACAAATTCATGGACACTCGTGTAAAAGAAAGAGTTTTATATAAAAGGGTAATTGTATGTTAAGAAAGCAGCCCAGCCCAGTCCATAAGTCCAATATTAGCGCATATGTCCCATACCAGTCTATAAATTCCTTTTCAGACTAACGCAACACATGCAATGAAGCTGAATGCAAAAAGATCACAGGCCAGTGGATGGAAAGTATTGTGGATCCAGTGGCGGTAGAAGCATCTCGGTGCTGGAATGGGTCTCCATGTGGCTCCTCCAGCTCCAGGCTCTGGCTGCATCAGTGTAGGTCCATCAGGCTCATCATCAATAATGTCTCTCAGGGAGTGTGTGTCCGGCCTCCAGCGAGCTATTTATCTTTTTAGCGCCTCCAAATGAGATCAAGCTACGACCTGATTGACAGGCTAAACTCTACCCCTTGAGACTCTTAAATCTCAAGTTGACAACAACCACACTAAGAGACAATGAGTGTGTGCTCAACTGGCTTTCTGGCCAGGCTGGCTTTCTGGCCCATGGAGACAGAGACCAAGGGCCCACATAGTGAAGAAGCTGAAGACCAGAGATTTGTCTACTGGCTGAGGAGAGGTGCTGCTGTGGACCAATGACTGTATCCTTACTGTTTACTGATCCTGATATGTGGCAACCTGTTAACTTCCCTAATAAACCCCCTTAATTGTGAGTATTGTCTATGAGTTTTGTGTGACCATTGCAATGAATTCTCAAACCCAACAGAAAAGTAGAGTATTATGTCAGAATAGAAAGCTTGAAGATGGAGAGATATCAGACTTCTGCCTTGGGGCTATCTTCCTTGGACAGATGTGAAGCTGGATTCTCTTCCCTTGTGTAGCCAGAGGAGGTCAGATGGCCCTCTGCACCATTTCTGTACCATCGTTGGACCACTATGCCAGTTGGTCTCGTTGAGCATCTCCCTCTATTTTCCTGTCCCGCTACTAAGCTTAATGTCCTTTTCCTCGTCTCACCTGATAGCAAGTCCAAAGTATGTAAGACGAAGTCTCAACCTCCTCACCTCTAAGGCTGACTTCTTCCAAGAACATTAGGTTGTCCTGCGGGTCCATGGTACTCCTTCATCAGCATAACTCAGAGGTGCTTCAGTCTTCCTGACTTGTTGCCCAGCTTTTTTGTTCATACGAGGGGATTGAAAAGACCATGGCTTGGGTCATGCAGCATACCCCTCAGAATGACACTTTTGCTCTTTAACACGTTAAAGAGGTCTTGTGCAGCAGATTGTCTCAATACAATGGGTCACTTGGTTTCTAGGCTCCTGCTTCCATGATCATTAAGTGTGGACCCAAGTAAAATTAAATCCTTGACAACCTCAGTCTTTTCTCCATTGCTCATGATGTGAACTATTGGTCCAGTTTTGAGGATTTTTGTTTTCTTTGCATTGAGTTGCAATCCATACTGAAGGCTGAACTCTTTGGTCTTCAGCAGTAAGTGCTTCAAGTTCTATTTCTACAAAAAGACTGTGTCACCAGCACATTGCAGATTATGAATGAGCCTTCCTCCAATCCTGATGACATGTACACATGGGCTCAGCTATCTTTTGATGTGGCCTGGGCAGCTCTCACTTGCCCTCTCCCTCCTCTGTGGATCCAGCTCCTCTCGGTTTTCCTCTGGTGTTCCTTTTCAGCTGCCCTCTTAGTTCTGCTTTCGTTCTCTGCTCCATTGTGTATGTGTGTGTGTGAGAGGAGAGAGAGAACAGAGAAGAGAAGAGAAGAGAAGAGAAGAGAAGAGAAGAGAAGAGAAGAGAAGAGAAGAGAAGAGAAGAGCTATGCTTTAGTATTCTAGCTTGTTTTTCCTACCCTCACATTCCCGGGATGCCTTCATTCCAGTCAACAGCTTTAAGCACTACGTGGATACTGAGGTTTTCCAATATACATCTTCAACACCGAACGCATGGCCCTACTGCCAGTTATTAATGTCCACTGAGCTGTCCTATAGGCACCACACCAAGGTAGCAGCTACAGAAATGAACTCATCTTCTTTCCCTCCAAACCTTCCCTTGGATGCCTCAATTCAGTGACTATTACTCATCAAGTCTTCAGATACCTGGAAGTTACCTGGACTTACCTCTCCCTCAGGTCCATATCCAATTAGACCATCCTCCCCTTTGCATCTTTCTCTGTTGATTCCTTATTGTCACCACCCCTGTCACTGCTTTTATTCTTCTTCCTGGAGCTTGTGGAGCCTGCTGGCTTGACTCTCATTCCATTCAAGCCACTGTGCTTTCTAAAGCACTCAGCTCATGGTGTCACACCGGCGCTCAAAATCCCCCAGGGCCCCCAGCACACCCAGGAGGAAAGGCTTGCTCCCTAGGCTGGCATACACAGCACACCCAGCCTGCCAAGGTGCAGTCTCAGCTCATTTCTCCAGCCTCACTCTCTCCACGTCAGGCCTGCACCTCAGCCACTCTGGATTCTGCCTCCTACCCTCTTTCTCCATGTACGTGCACCTGCTGCTGCTTTTACCTTGAATGTCTAGTTCCTCCTTACTCACATCTCACCCTCTTTCTCACCTGGCCCAGTCAGCTCATAGTTAGATGTGAGACGTCACCTGCTTTGGGAAAGGAAGCTTTTCCTTGAAGGTCCTGGCTCTCATGGCACCATAGGTACAACTCTGCTCCCACTCATGAGCTATTGTAAGCATTTTTGCTGTCCCTGTTGTTTGTTCATCTTTTCTACTAGAGTTCTTTGATAGCAGAAAAAAAACCCCACTTAAACTCATTGCCATTGAATTGATTTTGACACATATGGCCCCTATAGGATAGGGTAGAACTACCCCTGCAGATTTCTGATACAATAGTAACTTTATGAGTAGAAAGCCTCATCTTTCTTCCAAGAAGTGGAATTTGGTTTAGAACTGTTGACCTGACCTTACAGTTAGAAGCCCAATGCTTAACCACTACACCATCAGGGTTCTTCTTAAAATCAGATGTTGTATTTATCTATGTATCCTTAGTTCTTTGCAGAGTGACATATAGGAAATAAATGTTATACAATATATGAAAGTTCTTTTACTTTCTTAAGTCAAATAAATAATGACTATTTCAACCAGCTTATTTTGCACTTCAAACATCCAAACACTTATACCAGGAAAAAAAAGTCATCTAAAACCCCAGCTCCTTGACCAAACTCACTCCACACATGTACATGCACGTGCACACACACGGACACATCCGGGATTAATTAGAAGCTAGAGACAGTGTGAACACAGACATCCATAACATGATTGGGCTGCCAGAATGTCTTGCTCTTCTAAAAGTGGGCTCCGTGTCCCTCTGCTCAAAAGCACCGCTGAAACGACCTGAATGTGGGAACCTGGAATCACCAAGCAAACGGACTGCTGTGACTTACGTGTTCTCATTAGAGAACACCTCTATCAAGCAGTATTATACCTGGGAAGCCTGCCGTTTTCCCAAGTAGCAGTTATCGTTATCCAACAGAGGGTGCTGAAAGTGGTCCCGGGTGGGAGGCATGGCTAAAGGCCGAGCGAGACACTCTTTAGAGAAATGGAAGACCACCGCAGCCGCGCACAACCTTAGCTCGCGGAGGGTCTCTGGTCTCAATTGTTTGGAACGCCCGGCTCCGGTTGCTAGGCAACTGCGCCTCCACTGTGACTGAGGTGAATGCCCTTTGAGGAGGGCGCCCCCTGGCGGCTCGACGCGCGAGAGGAGCGGAGGGAACGCAGGGCGAGGGGCACCGCAGAGCCGGCCTGGCAGCGCGGCGACCGGCCGCACTCGGGAAGCGGACTTCTGCCAGGGCGTCCGCTGAGGAAAGAAGGCCTCGTACCTTGGGGATTTCTTTCTCCCGCTTACCTAGCAAAAGGCGTTCCGCTTTTCAAAGCAGCGGAGAAAGAGACGGAATACCCGGCGTGTGGGTGCCTTCGCCAGCTCCCCTGGTTTAAACTCAGTTTCCCTCAGGAACGGCAAGGCTGCGCACCGAGCCGGCGGAGGCTGCCGAAAGTACGGGCGGAGGCGGTGGGCTAGACGTCAGGTCTCGGGGAGCCGGCTCTTGAGGCCGTGCCGCCTGGAAGGTTGTCGCTCCGCACACTAGCTGCTTACTGAAGTAGTTGCCCGGGGCTGTATCAGTACCGTTTTGGTTAGGTGTCACCCAGTCGATTGCTGACTCCTAGGGACCCCAGGTGACAGAGCAGAACTGCCCACAGGGTTTTCGAGGCGGAAGCAGACCGCCAGATCTTTCTCCCGCCGGGCTGCTGAGCGTGTTCCCTCGACCGACCTGCCAGCAGCCTGGCGCGTAACCTTGGCATCGTGAGGGGCTCCTTTTGCAAAACCAGAGATGCTCGCAAATAGCCCAAGGCCCTTAAAGGGCAGCGAGCAACCTGGGTTTGGTGGCCAGGGAGCAGATAGGGGTGTCCCCTCCCCTATCTGTACGCGAGCCCAGCGCCCGCCTGTTGGGCGAGTTGCGGCCTCGGGCGCGCGCATTTCCACCAGCGCGCGCCGGCGGTGGCGGCTGCCATGGCGACCGGCAGGTGAGCGGCACAGGCGCGCGTGGTCCTAGCCCCACCCGCGCGAACGGGAAGAAGAGGCGGTTGCCTAGGCGACGTGGGTAGGAGGAGAAGAGGAAGAAGGGAGGAGGAAGGATGGGCGGCCTTGGCGTAGCCGCAGGGAGGTGACTGGAGCGAGCCCAGCCCCTTGCATCCTCCCCGTGTACCTCCCTCCCCATTTTTTTTTTTCCGCTTTCTGCCAGCAGCAGGGGCAGCCGCGGCACCTGAGCCGCCGTCGCCGCTCGCCCAGGACAGCGCTATGGCTGAGCCCGGGCGCAGCCCCCGTCCCTCTGCCGGGGGCAGGCCAGCACCTGCCCGGCGCGCACCCCGGCTTCTGCGGCTGCTGCTCTGGGCTGGGACCGCCTTCCAGGTGACCCAGGGAACGGGACCGGAGCTTCACGCCTGCAAAGAGGTACGTCCCCCACGACCCGCCTCGGCTTGGCTCAGAACAATCTGGACTCTGGGCGAGGATCTCGGGGGACCGTTTCCGAGGTCGCAGAGTTTGGGCTTCTTTGGGGGGTGGGGGCAGGGCAGAGGAGCCGGCTGGCGTCACGGAGGGCCAGCCCACTGGAGGACGAGAGACAGATCATCCTCAGGGCTCAGAGCGAGCGTCAGCCCCGAGGAGAGGAGGGACCTGGGCTTGGGGGAGAACGAGGGAGGAAGAGAAGGCGCTCTTTTCCAGCTGAGGCGAAAGGACCTTAAAAGTGGTTCCAAGCGGAAGACGGAGCACAGAGGGGCCCGCATAGATTGCGAGGGAGGGGAGAAGTGGGATGAGAAAGGAGTTAGGAAGGCCGTCGAAAGAAGTGGGACCTTGGTGGGCTTCCCCGCGCCTTCAGGGTCGGGCGTCCCGGGCTCAGCGAGATGAGAGAGGGCTGCAGGAGCCCGTCGATTCCGTATTGGACACTGAGTTCCCCTGCAGCCTGCCAGGTGTAGACCCTCTCTATAGCATCACCTCCCTCCTGGACACTTTTCTGAGTGTACCTGTCGGTCCCGCGACCCATCTTTCTCCACACTCTCCCTTAGCACCTCATTTTTGCCAATCTCCACTCTCCTTCTGGGGACCTGTGGCTGGCATAGGCCGCAAGTCTTCTTTTTAAGGTGCTTCTGCTCTGTTGGCCGCATGACACAGGCAATAGGAAGTAAACGGCTTCCAAAGGAAAACGCCTTTTCGCTCCTTCTTTTTGGAGGGGCGTTACAAAGGTACCAGGAGCGACACATCTCAGTCGTCCCGTGTCAGAGAGTCGACTGCACACGCTGCTCTGGGTTGTGCTGGGGTGACTTCTTTTGAACCATATGGCGGAGGAGGCAATAAAATATTTACAAGAACTACATTGAGGAAGGCAACATAAACATTGTGTTCTTACCTCTGTGAAACTCGAGACTTCATAGAGTCTGGGACAGAGAAAGTAATCCCAAATGCCAAACTTGGTAACTGGGGGGTGATAACAACCCCATGGCATAGGGAGCTGTGTGATTTTACAGGTGTTCTACCCACGGGGTGGGGGCCCACAACAAGGCACACAATGAAGAAGCGGGGAAGGAGAGGAAGAGAATTTTTGTGTGAATGCGTATGTGTGACTTCATTTCATGAATGTGACCTAAGTGCTCCCCCCGACCCCCCATCCTGGGACATTTGCTAGCTTTTATTGGTGCTGATGAGGACCTGTCCTGGTCATTTAGTATGTCCACTCAGACACTTTAGGACCTGCCTTAAGAGGGTGATGTTGTTGGTGGGGGAGGCTCACTGGGTTCGGTGGCCTGGGGTCTGGCCGGTCCAGGCAGATCCACTTGCCTGAGAATAAATGTGGATGTCTCCTGAGTGGGAAGGAAGGTTCTTGCAGCCCAACCAGGAATTCTCATTGAGAACCTTCGTCACCTACAGAAAATGTGAGGAGAGAGTTAAGAAATGGAAGACTTGCTTAGTTTCATCCTGGCTTGAAGAGAGAAAGTCAGATTAAATTTGAGAGCTCTAAGTTGTGTGCCGATTTTGCGGTTAGACCTATTTCAATGACCAGCATTTGCCCAAGCAGAGGGCAGGGGAAAACTTAGAAGTCCAGTATGCTCAGTGGCTGTGCCATCCGGCACTTGGATCTGGATGATGAATATTACAATCAGACCGCGGCTGTTGGGTGTTGTCCAGTCAGTGCTGAATCCTAGCGATCCCAGGTGATAGGGTCTACCTGTCCATAGGGTTTGCTGGATGATAGTCTTTACAGGAGCAGGTCACCAGGTCTTTCCCCCATCCGCCCCCAAAGGGTTTCTGGGTGAGTTTGAACTGTCAACCTTTCAGTTAGCGGCCAAGTGCTTACCTCAAAAGGGCATTTTAGGAATCCTTGTCCCAAAAGGATTGTGCTGAGCACTGAAAGAAAGACACAGAAAACACGAAATAGAGTTGCCTGACCGTTTTCCTCTTCAGCATCTGCACCATTAGCTCCACACCCCACCCAGGGTGCAAATAACTTCTTAGGGGAGTGATCATGGGCCCCTGGCGGTCTCTGTTTGCACCTTCCTTGAATAAACAGTGGCTGCTGGAAACCTTGAACTCAAAAACAATAAGGAAGAGATTAGCCCCACTATTATCATACTCATTTGGTTGTGTGAATTGCTCTGACACTCCAACCCCAAATTTGCTTTCTTATGAGCCTCTGTTAAGGGTGGAGACTGTGATCAGGCCAAGGCTGGCCCTAATGATAGCAGTGCTGTCCCTGCCTTGTGGTGAGGACACAGGGGATTCACCTTGTTTTTGAAAGCTGAGCCACCCCTCTGGATCTAACCCTGAAAAAGAGTGATTTAGCCTGAAACATCGAATGAGGTGGGGGAGAACTTGGGAGTTCTAGATCCCTGGCTTGGTGCCGGCTGGGGCTTGGCTTTCCTTTCAGTCTTGGCTTTCCTTTCAGTCTACTGTGGCCAGTAGAACCAAGCATCCTGCATGGTGTTTGTCTTCATGAACCATTTCTTTAGCCCCGTGCTAGCCCAGGTGAAGTGCCAAAGGAATCCGTCCCAAAGCACAGAAAGTCTAAATCAAACAAGAGCTGAGCAGAAAACTGCCTTTCACACGAGCTGCCCTGATCTGCGGTTCCAGCGCTAATGGCCCCGGAGGGACCTTTCAGTCTGTATTAAAAAGCTTTGTAATCAGGCAGACGTGGACTGGGATAGAATGTACTGATTGAATGATGATCTGCCACTTAATGAGGGTGCTGCTGTGAGCGAGTTCATGAACCTCTGCGGGCCTCAGATTTGGGGTCTGTCCAGTGGAGATTATTGTTAGGTGCCGTCAAGTCAGCCTCCCTGAGTACAACAGAAGGGCCACTGCCTGGCCCTGCCCTTCCTCACCGTCCGACTGTGTCCGAGCCTATTGTTGCAGCCGCTGGGTCACTCCATCTCCGGAGGGCCTTCTTTTTCCCCCCTCCAGTGACTCACAGGGCGGTTACGAAGATCAAACTAGATGGCCCGTGTAAAGTGACCAGTACGCCCACGTGGTATATCCCAGGTACTTCAGAGATGCTGATAGGTAGAAAAGGCCGGCAAAGGGATGGTGAGATGAGTCGGCATGGGATAAACAAAGCAGGAGGGCAGGGTGGGCACTGGTAGGAAAAGGAAGAGGGAACCTTATTTGAACAGTCGGCATTTGACTTGCTTCTGGAGTAATCAGCAGAATCTCACTGGACAGAGATGGAGGAAGGATGCTTTCCTGATGGAGGGAGGGGCCTGAGGAAAGGTTCGCAGGTGGAACCATACAAAGGGTCCTGGGAACTGCAAGTAGACCAAAGCACAAAGCAGCACCCACTCGCTGTCCTCGAGTCAGTTCCAACTCATAGTGGCCCTCTAGGACAGAGCAGAGCTACCCCTTGGGATTTTCAAGGCTGTGCATCTTTTTTATTATTAGTCATTTTATTGGGGGGCTCTTACAAATCTTATACCAATCCATCATTCGAGTGTATTAAGCACATTTGTACATATGTTGCCATCAATGTTTCTAAAACATTTTCTTTCTTGGTATTAGCTCCTCTTTTTTTCCTTCCTTCCCTCCCTTCCCCACCCTCCCTCCCTCGTGAATCCTTGATCAATGATATACTCGTACTGTTATTTAGTGTCTTACACTGTTCTTTGTCTCCCTTCACTCACATTTCTGTTATTCGTCCCCCTTGAGGGGAGGCTATATACCCAACCTTTCTCCCCCTCCTCCTCCTATCCCCACCATCCCCCTAACCTCATTATATCGCTACCCCCATTACTACTCCTGAGGGTTTTATCTGTCCTGAATCCCATGTGTCCAGAGTTCTTGTCTGTACCAATGTATGTACTCTGGTCTAGCCAGATTTGTAAGGTAGAACTGGATCATGGTAGTGGGGCTGGGGGAGTGTTCAGGGACTAGAAGAATGATGTGTGTTTCGTCAGTGCTATACTGCACCCTGGTTGAATTGTCCCTTCCTTGTAATTCTTCTGGGGGGGGGTATGTCCAATTGGGTCCCCACTCCAATTCCCCTCTTTTACATCGATATAATTGTTTGTTTTGGATCTTTTGATACCTGATACCTGATCCTGTTGACACCTCATGATCACTCAGGCTGGTGTGCTTCTTCTATGTGGGCTTATTTGCTTCCCTGCTAGATGGCTGCTTGTTTAATTGCAAGCCTTTAAGACCCCAGATGCTATGTCTTTTGATAGCCAAGCACCATCTGCTTTCTTCACCATATTTGCTAGTGCACCCTTTTTGTCTTCAGCAATTGTGATGGGAAGATGAATATCAAAGAGTGCCAGGTTATAAGAACAAAGTGTTCTTGTGTTTAGGGAGGCCTTGAATAGAGGCCCAAAGTGTCTATTATCTTAATACTTAGCATATAAATATATGTACAAGGCCTCTATCTCTTTCATTATAATTAATATATTTACATATACACACATGCCTATAGCTATACCTCTATAAATAGCTTTTGCCTCCTACTTCTTTCCTGTATTTCCTTCCATCTATCTCCTGTCCCACTATCATGCTCACCCTTGAACTGCTGACCTGAGGTTAGCAGCCCGACTCGCTATGCCACCAGGACTCCTGCAAGTCTCCCGGTTGGCTGAAATGTAGAGTAAGTGTAGGGTAAAATGGAAGATACTGCTGGGAGCTAGAAAACAAAGGGAGAGCCTCCCGCAAATTTCTGTGCGCAGATCAGATTACCTTGAACTTGGTTGAGATGGGCCAAATGAGAGCTAGGAGCAGGCTAGATTTCATTGAGATCAAGGAGGAAGTTAACAAGGGCCGCACTGGTGGGTGCATGGAATAGCATGTTGTGGGTGCCGCAGCATCTGCTCTGGCCCCTGAGTGTGACACCCTGCACTGTCTGGTGCCATTGTTGCTGTGTTTGAGCCCATTGTTGCAGCCACTGAGACAACCCAGCTCATTAAGAGGCTTCCTCTTTT